GTGGCTGGCGCCTTAGCCGGTTGAGCTATAGGCGCTGAGCCAGTAAGTTTTTTTTAAAGTGTAATTTTGATATAGATTTAAATGTAAAATTATATTTTATCCCAAAACTTGAAAGGGAGATTCTGAGTTCTTGGGGCTTTTTGTGGTTGCATAGTTTTGTTTTATGAGGTAACATATAGAGAACATTATAATGCTAAGATGTGGCATAGATTTTCTAAAACTCGATTTTAGAGTATTTCTAAGTCAGCCTTTTCATTGCTGTGCTGTGATGCCTTAGGTGCCAGTCAGTTGGATATAGTGATTCCTGTGTTTAATTTTTCTCACAGAAATTCTAGAGATCAGGGCTCTGTTTTGAGTGACATTTTGGATTAAATGAAATAGTCTGCTAAAACAATGCTGTGTCACAGGAAATATTTATTTAGCATTGACTATGTGCCAAGCATTCTTTTTTCCATCTTCCAAAGAAATTGACCTCATTAGAGAGTTTGTTCTGGGCCAGTGTTATTCCAAGTAATATTAATTCTCTTTTTGGATTCATGGAAGCAGTTTCAACCTGGAAACCCTGTCATACTATTTAAAGTGAAGAATGGAAAACTGATAGCACCCTTTGAAGGAGGAGTTGTGGGAAATGCTAACATTATTACCTTTTATGAAACTCTTAGGTGAATTATCACAGTGTTAATGCATTTTCACCTTCTATTAAAACAATTGTTCTATATCATAAATTTTTTTTATCAGTGACCAGCTCTAAAACATGAATTGTTTATTACTTGAAGAATGTTATTTTCCCTCACTTTATAAAGTGACCCAGGTACTTTACTTAGCTGGCATTCAGCAGGCGAGTACCATCTACTATTTAAAGCAGGAAGAAACCTTGTGCATCCATGAAAATGGCCCAGAACAGTCCCAAATGGGAAGATGGGGGGAAGCACAGTATGGTTGGATTGCTGGCTTCAGGAAAGGGGTACTTTGGTGGTGGAAGCCAGTCCCTATTTGTCCCATTCACATGAGTGGAATTATGTAAGAAGTAGTGGGAAAAGAAAGTACGAACAAAACAGGGAAAAGAAAAAATGGAGAAAAAGGTAAAAACCAGAAAAAGCAGTGTAGATGTTGGCTACCTGACGCAGTGATGTCCAACAAACAGTAGACAGCCGTGAATAGATTAGGCGGAGGACAAGTAGTCCAGACCTTGGACTATACTTTAAGTAGCAGGGGTCTAGGATGTTTTTGTTTGTGGTTTTTAGATTGGTTTTTGTTGTTTTTTGTGTGGGCATGGTTATAGCTAAGCACCGATATGTAATTACTGCGTTCATTTTAGGATGTGACAGACTGAAGATTTGCCTAGTGGGTGATATCTCTTTGGTATAGATTTTTACTGAATGTGGGAAGGACAAAAGTGTGCTGTTTTCAGAAAATGTTCCGAAGCTTTTTATTTCTTAAAATGACATTTATTTCATTTAGAAGGTAAAATAGGTTACATAGTGGTGAGGCCACCGAGGGAATAGTCTTTTCCCGAGGATTATTCTGCACACGTGCTTTTAGCCATCACTGTCCTGTATCCTCTTGTGACAATATCATCTTATATCACTGTGCTTGTGCACAGCCATGTCTAACTATTCTGCACAGAGCAGGTAGAAGGAGTTCTGTGTGCTATAACTGGAGTTATCCATCAGGGAGAACTTGGGGCCACCACATTTACCAGACCACATGAGTTCACAGAATTGTAGCATTTTGCTTTTAGTTGTGGGTGTCATCAACCTGATCTTTAAGTGCTTTCTAATGCTATTTTTTCCCCATTCTTTAGTCAGTTTGTATAGATTATTACAGTGTAATAACAGATCTCACTATCTGGTTGGGTAGGTATATCCTCTTTACTCTTTTCATCTGCAGTATCTTTGCTATTCTATTCTTAGCCCTCTGCTCTATACATTTTCAACTCAATTTGGTGGGCGGGGCATAGAAACTCCATTTGGGATTTTGAAGAGCATTTCATGAAATCTGTAGATACATTTTGGGGAGAATTTCCATCCTGATGTTATTAATAATAGAATTTAAAAGTGGCTATCCTATGGAAAAGAATGAAATTAGATCATTACATACTATACACAATTCCAAAAAGATGAAGGGGGCTCGGCACTCGTAGCACAGCGGTTAGGGCACCACCCACATACACTGGGGCTGGGGTTCAAACCCGGCCTGGGCCTGCTAAACAACAATTACAACAAAAAAATAGCTGGGCGTTGTGGCAGGTGCCTGTAGTCCCAGCTACTTGGAAGGCTGAGGCAAGAATTGCTTAAGCCCAAGAGTTGGAGGTTGCTGTGAGCTGTGATACCACGGTACTGTACCGAGGACAATATAGTGAGACTCTGTCTCAAAAAAAAAAAAAAGAAAAGATGACGGGCCTAAGTGTGAAAATTTTAGCTTTTACAAATTTTTAGATATTTAGATTTATTATAATAGGTAAATATTTTTCTAGTCTTGGGATAAGGAAAGACTTCTTTCAAAAGTAAAAGCACTGGCTCGGCGCCTATAGCTCAACCGGCTAAGGCGCC